TGTATTTAATTCTTACCTTTGGATGCTTTTATTTTGTTGTTAAAACTATTTTAATGTCTTGTGGCATTGTTTCAAGGCAAACATTTCTTCAGAAGAAAAAGATGGCATGGCTGTAATTAATGTTCAACTTTTATTTCTGTAACTGATTCTGGTTCCATACCATTCTGTGGCTTTCACACCCCTCTCTCTGTCAAACTGTTCTCCTCTCTGTATGCTTCTCATGTACTTGCCTTGTTGTCTCCAGCTCCAAATCATTATGATTCACATGTAAAAAGAAAGTCACTAGTGGGTTTTAATACTCTTGAAGCTGTTAAAGACTTGTAGGGTACGAGGGTGCATTCATTTGAGGGAAAAGGTCAGTTATTTTCCAGTGACTTATTCTGTTACTTTACTCCTATCTGTGCTAACTTTACAACAAGTGTCAATAACAACAACTACTTGAATTTACGTGACACCTTTAATGTAGTAAAGCATCTAAAGGTTCTTCAAAGAAGCAATATGAGACAGAACTTAACACTGGCACATGTATCAACCTGGAGGACCAAAAGATTGATCGAAGAGATAGGTTTTATGGAGTGCCATAGAGGAGGAGAGGGGGAGATTATGAGAGAATTCCAGAGCTCACAGTCTTGCCAACTGTCACCATGTCAACCAATGGCAGAGCAATGAAAATCTTGGGTATACAAGAGGCCAGAATTGGAGGAGAAAGATAGAAAATTCAGATGGCTGTATAAGATGGAGGTAGCAGATTTAAAGGACAGGCAAACACAGTACTGTCAGATTGAGAGGAATGGCATGCATAATAATTGTTGCCTAGTCTCAAATTAAATTGCCAGGTTTTGTTCATCGTTTTAAATCTGTACATCTCCACATGACTACAATTTGGTTTGAAGTCTGTTTCTTGACTACAGGCAGTTAGGAGCAGGAAAACAGACTTCCCTAACAGATTACTGAAACACCAGATGGTGGCAGCACCACATTTTAAAAGAGAAAGTTGCTCAAATAAGCAGCAGATTGAGCGACATAACCATTTCAAGGGTCTTGTGGTGTAGTCATAGTGTTCCTATCTCTGAAACTGCAAGTCCAGGTTCAAGTTGCACCTGCCCTGGAGTAGTGTTGTAACAAGTCCAAACAGATTAGTTAAAATATGTTTGTTTATAACCATTCCCATTCTGGTAACCATCAAGTAAAATGTTAGTTGAAGCATTAAACTGCCAGCTTGCGTCTTATCTTCTGGATCAGTAGTGACAGAGATGTACACCCAGCAGTTCTGAAACTATGATATATAGAAGGAAAAGTAGATGACCCTTTCAGAGGAGACCCATGAGAACTGGCAGCTTTCCTTCCTTTTTGGAACTATATCTGACTTACCCCTTCATTTTCCTCAAGGTTTGGATGTTGTTGGCAAGACTCAGTCATTGTCCAGTTCTGCTTGTCTCGAGTTAGTGATGGTGGTAACCCTTCTTTCCTAGTTAAATGTTGTGGAAACACCTTGCCCAACAGTTCAGGAGGATGGCCCACACTCACCTTCTCAAAGGCAGCTAAGGATTGGCAACACACAGCAGCCTCATTACAACATCCGTATCCCAATAATTAATTTCCCTTTTTGCTTCAAGGTCAAGCACGTGGGAGACCCATAAGAAATCCAGGCTGTTTTTATAGCCAGTCCACTATCACAACTCACTACATTCAATTTCTTACTCTGTGATAGGGTTTGAGCTCCTGACCCTTATGCAGCCAGTCCAGTGTGATCATCAGTACAATGCCATATTCTAATTTGTTTCTTTCTAAAGCTTTCTCCTTAACTGAGATGACTTGCCTCTTAAACAGAGTTTCAAATCTCTTTACACCTTCTAGTTGTGAAGTCCAAACTGAACCCAGTATCCTGTTAGGCTTCTGCTGAACCCCAAAGGGAGATGGATAAAGTGCTTGAAAAAGAGAAGAGAAAAAAAAAGTGGAGGGTGATGGAGGAAGAACAGGAGAGTGAAATTTCTTGAAAAGGTCTTTCAAAGAGCTGAAAGTAACATGGTGGGCCAAATGGCCTCCTTCCTTGTCATAGCGATAATTCTACTACTTAACCAGTTCTGATGAAGGCTTCCTTCCGAAACATCAGCCTGATCCTTTATCTTTCAGATGCTATGTGGTTCCAGCATTTAATATTTCTGGTTCAAGCTGGACACTTCAGTATTTTGTATCGGTAGCAATCCTGATGGGTGCTCCCATTGCTAACTGCATGCACTGCCCCTGTAGAGTGTGGGTGCTTTCCACATACCACTGTTGCCTTTTACATTATAGACTATAGCTAACAATCCTCCTGCTTCTCTGGAATGGCAATTCTATCAAAGTACCACCTATCAAAGTACCACAAAAAAAAAAAAAATAGGACGTACAAAACCTCATAAATAAAGAGATGTAGAAAAGAACCCATTTCAGTGGCTGTGTTTTGTTTTCTGTACTACCTTCCACTGCTTCCTTTAGGGTCAGCACTTCAAGGTTGCTTGCGGTCAGGAGCCTAAGTTTTGTGGGCATGAGATCCAAGCAGTAATGGGACCCGTGGTGCTACAACAGCTATGCTCCCAGTCTACAGGGACCTCACTGTCACACAGTACTTGCTGAGGGGTATACCCATCTTGAGGCTTGAAAGTGGTTGGTCACAGTGGGAAAAGTGAAAGAGGAGGATGGTGAGAGAGAATCATCCCCAAAAGGATGGTGAGAGAGAATC